GGCCTGCCACACTTGACGTCACGGGCGGCTTGTTCCAGTGTTTTCTTTTTGTCAGATTTGGGTGACATAGCTTTTCTCACCATGATAAGAATAATCAGCAAAAACTGGAGTAAAAAGGTGGAGTAAAACGGTGAACACGCAACGCGTTTTAGCGACTTTTGGAAAACGGCTTGGACGGAGGTCCAAAAACAGCAAGATACAGGTAGCAGTTAATAAGTGTTACTTTGGAGTAACACAGACCGAACTAGAACGTAGCGATATACAGTTAAAAGCACAGCGGGACTATACGTAGCAAAAACGAACCGTTCCAAGGTCACCAAGGTCACCAAGGTCATGTAAAACTGTGCTAATATTTCATGGCGACTGTAACAGTGACAGTAGAAAATTGTTCATATGTACATGATAAAATAATTAAAGAAATATTTTATTCTCAGTTTCATAGAGACGCACCAACTCAGGCATGAGCAAGGTTTAATAACAAATGTGTATCACGACGATACATCGGGTTCAATCGTGTGTAGTTGAAATGGTGTCGGGAAGAGTTGATGTGTGAGTCTAGTCGACTTGCCAGTATGTAGTTGTGGGCCGTGACTTTATTCGGTGGCGAGTCACATCCGCCACGTCGCGGTGTTGTTAAACAGACATTTGTGGCTTTTTATAGAAAGAACGCTTGCCAGGCGAAAACCCACCACGTCCTGCAACACTGCCGTAAAGCATTTTGAACATTAATGTTGAACTGGCAAAGCCGTTTGACGACTGGTTTCACCTTCGGTTTTTCGCGGTGTAATGGCTTCGAATTTCCTCTGTTAGTTTGACGGGTATTTTGATCTGGGTCGCCATGATTTTTGAGGTCGCTGGAGGAGAGGTACATGCGATTTTTCTTCTTGTTGTATGTCCAGGTGGGCAAAAGTTTCAATTTTTCCGCTGTCCAGATTTTTCAGATGTATACTGTATGGGAGTATGAGGGTATGTCCAGTTCTCCATACTGGACAAGGGTTATGGTGATTGTAGGTTGGTCCTTGCGAAGTTTTACCATCCTCCATGTCAGTCCTTGTGGGTTGTTCCGTCCGTCTTGGGCCAAAATTGTTCCTCAGTCCAATCCCAGATCTCCAAGTTGTCCCGGACCTCAGAGAAAAGGGAAAGTGGGAGACAACCGAGAAAAGACCGCAAGAACAGGCATGGAATTGAATATTTTTAATGTCTTGTGTTATAACATTTGGGCTTGAAACAAAAGCATGTACACTGTGCAACAACAATTATGCTGAAAATGTCTTTTGAGTATCCTATAGAATCATTAGCCGTATAGGTGGATTGCTATCGCCTGCGTAGGGGCAAGAGCGTTGCACCAGTAAGTAAAGTACGAGTATCCGTTTGATATGAGTCGATAGTTGCGTGGGGATAGAGCAACGAGAGTTAGAATCTTGGTAGTAATTGTCAGGTGCATGAACAGCACGTAGTTAGTAATCCGAGAGGGGGTATAATAGGCGAAAATAAATAGGTTGCTGCGGGAGAGTCTTAAAGCTCAATTGGTGGCAGGGCAGCGGAAGGACTGGATGCTGCTATTCTAAAGGAGTAAAGGTTATTGAGATACGGGGTGGCTACTAACAAGCACTGGATCATCGCATGTGCATGGGGCCAATGGCCATTAGCTACTTCTGAAGAGAGATGCCAAATTTACGACGACCGACAGATGGTGGCGCTAGGAGTGACTCAGTCACCAGATGCAGCTATTCCAATCAGACGCTTGGTCCCTAGTGTATGCCTATGGGGTCGCTGAGTGTATCAACAGGCCAGTGAAGGTAAGTGATAGGTCAATAGACCAGCTGAGCTGTGACACAAACTATCCGAGAGAATGAACGTAGTAAGAGGGAGCGAGCTCCGGATATCCACAATGTTAAATGGAAGCTATGGCAACTAGCTGCTGTTAAGCAGAGATAATGGCTTTAAAAAAGGATGAATCAGTGGCTGGTGTAGCCATGTCATTAAGATGTTTGACCAATACTGGATACCTACAGTTTCGATGAAGAAATCATCAAGTGAGCGAAGCTTAAAGAAACAGACGGCAAAAGAAAATGGAGGTTGGAGAGTCAGGGATTGGCTACTTGTAAGCTACATGGAGCCAACAATGACTAGCTGCTGTCAAGAGGAGTTGATGCGAGTAGGACGAACGACAAATAACGGCGCGCTAGGGGAGAGAAGAGTGACCAGCAATAGAGTTTGGTTTAAGCCTTCAGTTACTAGTGGATCCTACGGTGGCACATAATAGGTCAACAAACCATCTGAGCTGTGACGCAAGCAATCCAAGAGAATGAACATTGTAAGAAAGGAGCGACTCCTACAGAGCTCCGGATATCCGCAGAGTTAAATGGAAGCTATGGCGACTAGCTGCTGCTAAGCAGAGATAGAGGCTCTAGAAAAGAATGAATCAGTGGCTGGTGTAGTTATATCATTAAGACGTTTGACCACTATTGGATACCTACCGTTTCGATGAAGAAGTCAACATGCGAGCGAAGCTTAAGAGAGACAGACGGCAGAAGAAAATGAAGGCTGGAGAGTCAAGGAGTGGCACCTTGCAAGCTACATGGAGCCAACAACGACTAGCTGCTGTCAAGAGCTTTATTGTCATCTAAAGAAATTGTTGACCTTGAAGCCGAGCCTGCCGGAGCGCTAATACTGTTTCCCTGGTTGCAGCGCAGCACAGAACGAGATGAGCGTATTTGCACAGTTCTCTCTATTGATCCCCACGTTAGGCATTTCTACTCCATTCTGTCCAAGTTTAGACCGCGATCCCTTAAAATGGTCGTCAAATGAGTTGCTAAATGCCTTGAATTACCACATATTTGTCCACCGAGAGGCCAATGAACGCAATATAAACATAAATGGCACGTAATCGCAATTGCGCGATGTCCAAAAGCTTTACTGAAAACACCACAACGTGTCTACCTTGAAATTACAAGAATAGGCACCTCTGTATGGGGCTCTCCCTAAACATTGTCTTAGCTTTTATGCCCTGGATATCTGCTTCCGTCCTTAAACGACACACCACTTCTGTTAGGCCAAATTGTCTGCTTTCTGCTTAATTCCGTCTCGTGCGCACTTCCTCATCAGCATCCTGACAGCTGTTATTCGACTGAGCTATACTGACTCAAGTATGGCACATCCACTGACCCTTTTAGGTGACTCTGCTTTGCTTGCTTTTCCTCCTCACTATTTCCTATAAAGCCATTATAATCCGATGATACGCTTACTTGTTTGAGCCTCGCATCCAGCTCTCGCCTCAGCTCGCTTGCGTGTTGTCAGCCAGAAGCGTTCGTCCCGCGCTGCCTTATCTGTCTTTGTTGTTTGCTTACCTCGCTTAGACCACTGAGGCTTAAAAGCCAGGTTTACAGCAGAGTCACCCTTAGTACGTTTTTAACCTTAACCCGGCTAATTCTCTTTCACAATACCTCGCTAAGTCTTATCCACCTAAGCCCATGCTAACCTGCTTGATGAATCTGTTCTTGAGCGCGCCTCACCGCGACTTAATGAATCTATGCATGCCACCTTGAATAAGCTCAGTAACAACAGACTTATCACAC